CTGTTGTGAATCATAATGTAAATATCTGATATGCGGGATGTATTTAGGTGACCCCTTTGAAAGGGTCGTTTGACCCCCAAAGGGGTCACAACCCACAGGCTGAGAACTGCTGTTCTAGGGTTTTCTTGAATGCTGGGAAGGAGAAAGCTTAACCACCTGGGGATAGTTTTTGCAGAGAAAATGGAGAGGGGAGCTGGAGGGTAAGAGCACTCTGGGCAGGAGAGGAAGCAGGGAAAGAATCAAGACGGTGAGGCAGAGGCACAGCTGGCTGCGGGGCACACAGCAGTGTCCGTGGATGGGGAAGGGTTAAAGCCAGGAGAGCAGACAGGGTTGGGGGAGGCAGCTGCTCCAGAGTGGGACCCCGCACGGTGCCGGGGCCTGACGGGGAGCTAGTCTACATTCCCAAGAACACTTGAGCAAAACTACAGAACTCAGTGCCTGATTTAGTGAATAATTTGTAGAGTCCCATGAGTTAAGATTTTCTATTAAGCTATCTGTGCTGCTAATAATTTAGCTAAAAGATGTGTTAGATACAGCATTGGGGAAAAATGGAATACCCATCTCAGGGGATAATGACACTGTGAAAGCCATATTATTTCTACTGCAGAGAACAATTTTAAGCCTGTGCTAATAGATTAAGCTACTAGAGTGATCATTTTGAACAAAGAGAGTGGTTGAGAATTATATAGCCAGCCTCAGACTGATTGGGACAGGTGAAGAGCAGTAATTTAATCCTCTCAATCCGGGACAAGGAATGCCTTTAATCATTGCCACGCTACACCAGCTGAGGAAGGGCTTTATACTCGGGGTCACCTGAGCTGCACTCCACCTTTGCTACTTTTCAATTGTTTGATCTTATATGAGTCACTAGAGTATTAGAAGCTTGAGTCTCCCCATTTATAAAATGGGAACAGAAATGCCCAAACCACAGTGTTGTGTGTAAATAAATAATTGGCACAGGAGAATGTTCAATAAACTGCAAAGAGCTGGGTGGACATGGGGTTCCCTGGGAGCAGGGGAGACAGTGCGATCACATGACTGTTGACATGCACAGAGGGGGTACCCTCTTTGAAGAGCACCCCATGAGTCCCCGCATGAAGTCACTCACTCACTCCCATCCATGCCTTCTGTGTAGGATCCGTATGTAAAGTGGAGCATGTCTGTGGGTGTGAACGGGGAGCGTGTGACTGAGGCCCGCAGCAGGCGAGTGTCAGGACCTGGGGAGGTGGTCAGGTCCAGTTCCCACACTCAGTAAGGTGACTGAGCAGCAGCCCTACACCTGGGCTCACTCAGGGGACCCTGACCCTAACCACCTGGAGGGCTTGTGAGAACCATGCATTGCCCACTGCCTCCATCACTTCCTCGGGTGGATTCAGCCCAGAGGATCATGTTTGGAAACTTTACTGCACTCTGATAATTTGCAGGATGAATTTAGTGGTGATTCTGTTGGACAAATCCTGGAGGCTAAAAATTAAACAAAACAAAACAAAATAAATGGAGAAAGGGTTACCCTTCAGTAGACTAAACACTTAGGAACGGTGATGTGGGCAGAGAGACGCGAGAGAGGTGTGACAGCAGCACAGCCACAGCAAGTCTTCTCGTGCTGGGCAAGTTTTGATCCACAAACTGCTGCAGGTGGGATGCGTGGGGCTCTGCTTTGGAAACCTGCAGAGGCTTCCTTTGTAAAGTGAAAGCTCCGTCTCCCCGCTGATGATCAGACTCTTCAGGATCCGACTGAAGACTTCACTGCAGGCTTCACCTGCTGCCTCTGCCCCACTCTCCCACCCTCCGTGACTTAGGGCACACCCTGTTGGTGGGTGTTTCACAGATACCCCTCCTAAGTGCAGAGGGATGTGTGGTCTGGAGCAGAGACAAGAGCCTTTGGCTTAGCCAGGATTGGAAGTGCCCCAGGGGGCCTGGAGAGGAACCCCAGAACAGAGACCTAGGAGTCCACCAGGCTTTGGGGTGGGCTGAAGGAGAAGAGCAGTGAGTGACTCTGGAATCTGAGAGAGGGCTTAGAACAGAGCCCAGGAGGGGCTGGAAAACAGCCAAGAGGGCATCTCAGGAACAAAACTGAGTCGCAGTCACAGTGGGGATGGTGGAATGTTCTGGAAAGGTGGAAACAGAACTCAGCCCCGGGGGTCAGGTGACTGGAAGGTGGTGGGCAGCCTCGGCAGGCTGCAGGGACACGCCTCCTCTCTGCTCAGTGTCTTCCCTCTGCCTGGGATGCCTTCTCCCACCACAGACCTTCTGTGCAGTGGCCGTCAGGCCCCATGCTGCAGAGTTATCTAGCCTGTCATTTACCTGCAGGTCAGGCCTGTCAGGCTTCTCTGGTTTTCACCACATTTGTGGGCAGTGGCTGTGTCCTTGTCATCTAGGGACCAACTCCTCCTGGCTCTGGCCCTGAGAATGTCATGTGTGCCCACAGTGCTGCCGTAGGACAGGCTGCAGCCTCTGCCCCTCAAGGGCCAGGCCAGGGCACGGCCCTCCTCTTTGTCAGTAATCTCCACCCCTGTTGTTACTCAGCATGGTGTGTTAGTTGTTAGAAGGAGGGAGTTTTAGCCATTGGATGTTTCTGTCAATGAATGCCGCCTCTTCAGCTTTGATGACAGTTACTGACTTTGTACAAGCAATGGCGTCACATCCAAGAGTATGTCTCACAGCTCCTGTATCAGTGGGACTCACGGTATTGATCACATCATGGGCTTACCTGGAGTGCAGCGGGCTTGGCAGCACACATGAGGCCCTGCGGACCTGGGCTCAGATTATTCCCGTCCCCTCACCCTTCCCTTTGTGCAGAAGTTACTGACAGTCAAGAGGAGAAAAGATTTGTTTCATCACCCCCATCTTCCCCCACCTCTGTCAGGGGCTCTCTTTGGAAGGGAAATAAATCAATATTTACTTTTAACGTCCTGGTTCATGGTACATTTTCCCAGTTAAATTAAATTGAAACAAACAGTGAAAAGAGGAAAAAGTTTCAGTTCACTCTAAAAAACAAACCAGGCAAAACATTGATAGTTTCCACTTGGAACCACACTCCAGCTCCTGGTGAATTCTCCCAGGCCAAGTTAAAAGTTCCTTCCACTCCATAACATGGGGACCTCCACGCCCGCCCTGGAGGGACCCTTTCCACTTTTCTCTCTCAATTAAACGTGACCCAGCTGTCGGCACAGGCCTTCCTGCTCACAGCAGCAGGAATAATCACAGGGTCAGAATGAGACCGTCTCACAGAGAGAGTGGCCTCACGGCGTGTCATAGATATGTGGGGCGGGGGGTAGAAAGCCACGCAATGCTAGATGCAGGCAGGGAGAAGAGTCACAAGTGTGGGGCACTAGGCTTCATGGAGGCTGCCTGCGTGTACCTGCCACTCTCCCCATCTCCCAGGAGTCAGCACTCCTGCCCCTGTCTGCCCAGAACCCCTTCCCCATGTTACCTCCTGAGTCCCAACAAGCCTGGCTCCCCCCTGCCTTGCACTGGCCTCCTCTGCTGGACCCTTGGAGTTCTATGCCTGCCCACAAGACTGAGCTCCTGGGGGGACTGTGGTTCCTACCATGCCACTACCTTAGTGCCTGACAGAGCATCTGTCACTCAGTGGATTGTTAGTCAGTGAACAGATATTGAGTGCTTACTGTGTGCCAGGCAGTAAGCTTGGCCCCGGGAAAACAGCTGTGACAAGACAGACACAGTCCCTGCCCTAATGGAGCTTGCAGTCCTGTGGTAGCTGATAAAATGGCAGTTCTGTTGGGCAGATGAATAACTGCCAGCCCACGGTACCGTCCAGGGGGCAGGTGTGGAGGAAAGTGTTGGTAAGTGAACGAATGAAGGGGTGGAAAGGGCAGTGAGCTGTCAAGCACCGTCTGCACCTGGAATCCCCTTCATTCTACCCGTCATCCTCCGGAGTAGATGTTTTAGTTTCTGACTAACAGATGACAAAACCAAGGGTTATGGTGAAAAGTGTCTGGCCAGGCCTCATAGCTGCTAACTGGTGGAGCTGGTGTCAGGGGCAGGGTAGGGCAGGTTAAGCCTATGCCCTTTCTGCCTTGCCATCGGGACACACCTGGAGGGAGGCGAGCGGGTCTCTGGTATCCCTCAGCAGATCTGAGGACGCTCACCCTCCAGCCGAGCAGTTCCAGGCCCTTTGCTTTCCCCTAAGATTTGTTTCTAACCCTCAACTCATTTTTCTATCTCTGAGGTCTCAATTCTTACTCAGTCTTCTCATGTCTTTTATTTCTCAAGATCGGAGACAGTTGTTCGGAAAGACAGCCCCGAGCTGTGGGGCATTAACACCAGCTATAATTTGGTCTTGTCTGGAATCTGCCAGCTTGGAGCTATGGTGAAAGGCCTGGCCATTGAAGCCATCAGGTCCTGTCCACTGCTGGTGCTCTGAGAACTCTCCTTCCCAGCCCTGGGGCAGTGAGTGCCCACTAGCAGCCCCCCTCCAGGAGAGAAGGGCTTGCTGTTAGTAGACAGGGTGTTCCTGGGGAAGCAAGGCCTGAGAGCCTGTGTCCCCTCCTAGTGAGATACAATCCTTCCCACTAAGCTGAGCTCCCAGGGTGCATGGAGAGCCAGAGGGCCCAGGATTTCCTAGTCCTGTTGTCACTACCAGATGGACTGGCTGTGTCTTTCTGGGAGCCCCCACACCCCACTTCAATGCTGTTGTAGTAAATAACCCCCCTGGTGCCTTCAACCCTCAATCTTTAGGTAACCTCTACACCTCCTAAAGCCCTGGGTGGTAGCCTATGTTAGCAAATGACCATGGACTCTGCATCTGAACTTAGGTTCCCCTATTTGCCACTGGGGAACTTGATCAGGTTGCTCTGAGCCTTGCTCTGTTCATCTGTAAAATGGGCCTGAGAGCAAGCACCAAGCACCGTTGAGAGATCTGTGCACAGTGTGGACAAGCCCAGGAGCATGCTGGGTGCTTCAGAAGCTGTGGTCACCCATTATTACGCTAGACCGGGAAGTAAGCCCCTTGTGACATCTTTCTGGCCCTCCCACAGGTCACTGAGGAGGAGCCCAGCTCTAACCACACGGTCATGATCCAGGAGACCCTCCAGCAAGCCTCCGTGGAGCTGGCCGAGCAGCATCACCTCGTGGTGTCCTCTGACGACGTGGAGGGCATCGAGACAGTGACTGTGTACACGCAGGGAGGGGAGGCCTCAGAGTTTATCGTGTACGTACAGGAGGCTGTGCCACCTGTGGAGGAGCAGGCAGTGGAGCAGCCGGCCCCGGAGCTCTAGAGGACATGCATTGCCAGAGGGTCACCGCACATGGCTGCCGGCCTCTGCAGCACCCAGGACGGGAGCCACCCAGCCCTCCTAGCCCATAGAATGGCACTCTCTTCTCCTTCCTTGTCTGGCAGCCCAATGGGACCCTCCTCACCCTACTTTGGGTAGGCGGGGCAGTCGGCCTCACCAGCAGCACCCTGTCCCTGGTACAGAGACACGCTCCCAGCCTGTGCCGTCTGCTTCCAGAAGGACTTCTACACCAGCGTCCCACACTTGCCCTACACTGTTTCCCCTGAGACTCCCAGTGACCACAGCATCTTCCCAAGTCACCCCAGCCTCCCAGGTGCTGAATCTCCATCTGGGACCGCTGTGCGGTCTGATGAGAAGAGACAGCCATCACTTAGAAAGTGACCTTACTGTTGGGGGCTGCGGGGAGTAGGGGGAGCAGAGGTGTCCTGGTTTTATCTATAAAGCACCCGGGATCAGGGAAGGTCACTATGACTCTTCCCCCTGTCACAGGGCTTCATTTTGCTGTCATGGAATTATTTTTGCTCTTAAGAAAAATGCACTTTTCACTTGTCACCTCCCATTCTAAGGGGACAAGTGGGTAGAATAAAAGCATTTCCTGCCCAAGTACTTGGGTTCCTTTCTGAGGTGGATGGCTTACCTTTCCCCTTCCCACATGGTAACCTTGCACTTGGGGCCCGCCCAGAACTACCCCACCCAGACCTGGGCCCTTAAAAGTAGACCATGATGCTTTTCCCCACTAAAGCACTTGGGTTTGCTTTGGGAACTTTTTGAAGGTAATGACCTCACCTTCCTTTCATTGCACCAAGCACTGGATTTGCTGCCTGCTGAGAAGTGGCATTGCCCTCCCCACCTTGTATCTGGGAGACACAGAGAACTTTATGACATGGTGCTGAGGGTTTCCCGTCCACTGATGGGTGCTCACCATCAGTTCCGTACATTTGGAGCCCCTGCTCTGCATGGCATGTGGGGCATCGAGCTGAACACCACTACCCCTTGCCTGGCCTTGGGGTTTCTTACCCAGCACCGACTCACTGGGGGTAAGGTTTGTTTGCCCAGAGCCGTGTCTCTCACGGAGCTCTCATGTAGGTGCGTCAGCACATGGGTGGTGGCGGCAGAGGGAGAGGCTGTCTCTTGCAGCTCTTGATACAGATAAGAAAGTGAGTTCTTGCTCTAGGCAAGGAAGGGAGGACCGTTCCCCCCGGGATGTTAAGGACACTTGACAGTGCATCCATCTGTGGTCAGGGCCCTGACGACTAGATGGACTTTTTACTTGCAAGGATTGGAGGTGGGAGGAGGGAGGGGTGGGAGTGAACCTTGAGCATCTCCACTTGCCTGGGGGAGCCCTAAAGGAAGGGTAGAAAGAGCCACCAGAACCCACATCCTAGACAGGCATGTGGGACGTAAGAACCATGGGGATACAGTGAGGAGATCCAGGCGTTCTGAGGAAGGGCCATCATGTCCGTGCATTCGTGTGGTCTCTGTTGAAAGGGGTGAGTGATTCAGCTGCAGACAGAGGACCTGGGCTCAAACACAGCTCTGTCTCTTCTCATCCCAGTGACTTTGGCAGGAGCTACCAGGCCTCTCTGAACTCCAGTTTACTCATCTCTGAAATAGGTCTAATGATAACTGCTGATTCCTAAGGTTTTTAAGAGGATTAACTGAATAAAACACTTGAAGCCGTTAGCGGAGTCTGGCCTACAGTCTGTAAATATCAATGATAATCGATGCTCCTAGGAATGGGGGATGTGAACATGATCAGATCCCTCACTGGAAAGGTCATGAGATCACAGAGAGGGGGCAGGAACAGCTCCACGGTAGACTCACTACTGGGAGGGAGGCCGTGGGGAGGAGCCTGCCCCGCCCACACATGCAGGAGCTGTGTGTTTTTAGCCTCCCTCTCCCCTGGAAACATCAAAACAGGAAGCTGAAGAATTGGTGTTCCCTGCTGACCATGCCCTTGTGAGTGGGTATTTGGGAGACTGGCCAAGTGGGCTTATTTTCCTCTGCTCTTTCTTGGGGTGCTGAGAACAGGGAAAGCTCTAAGTTACATGGTGCCCCCAGGTGACTCTAAGAAGTGGCCTCTCATGCTGCCCCCCACCCCCAGTTCCCCTCCTCCACTGAGGATGCTTTCTGATCTAACTTGTATTTTGGTTTTTTTTTTTTTTTTTTGCAGTTTTTGGCTAGGGCTGGGTTTGAACCCACCACCTCCAGCATATGGGGCCAGCGCCCTAATCCTTTGAGCCACAGGCACCGCCCTAACTTGTATTGTTCAGGCAAGGTGAAAGTGTCTGAATGGACTCTACCTGTCTGTTTTATAACGTGCTCAGTAGGATAGTATCTGGTCCGCCTGTGTCTTTCACAAGCTTGAGTGATTTTACCCCATGCCAGGTCAGGACATTCTCCTCATCACAGCAAGCCAGCAAGTTAGACGCCATTGTCAGAACTTCATCGGTGGGGAATATTAGCACAGAGAGGTTAAGTAACTTTACAGGAGCTCACATAGGAAGTGGTTGAACCAAGAATTAAGCCCAAGCAAGATCTGCATGTGTAATCAGTGTGCCTTCTGCCAATTTTTCCCTCCCTTTTATAGCTCAGAAGATGGCAGCTCAGTGAGTACCCTGTGTTGGGGGGAATGAGGCTAGAAAGGTGTGCATCTGTACCCCTATGTCATGCTGCCGCCCTGTCTTTCAGCCCTGATTCCAGGAAGGCAGAGCAGGCCGGGGGTTGGAGGGGTGTTACAGGCAAGGGGCCAGGTCTGCTCCCAGGAGCTGAAGCCCAGGGATCATGGTACTGAGAGATGAGATCAAGTGTGAGCAGGAGCAAGCACAAGAATGGGAGACCCTGGGCCAGGCCAAGATCAGGGACAAGGGAGGACACAAAGGCCAGCCCAGAGTGTCCTGCAATGCCAGGGGTGGGGGAGGAAGTTGAGGGCAGCCTTCAGCCTGCCTGGCCCTGGAAAGCCCCAGCACCTCCCACTGGTGCCTCTGTAGCTTATCTGGCAGGCCTGATGCCACCCTTATGTCTGGTGGGCTCTGAGCAGTCACGTGCACTGGCCTCCCAAGTGCTCATCTGCTACCAAAGAGGAAAGGCCAGACTTTGACCTAGGAGATGAAGCCCAGGCAAGACAGACCTGGCCTGACTCCAGGGTCAGCAGGTGTGTCTCTGGACAAGCAAGGTCACCTCTCCCCATTAGTGTGATGGGGATGGTAAAATAATAACTGCCACTAGACACAGCTTGCTATGTGTCGGGGCTCTACGAGGAGCCTTCTGTCAATTCTGTATTGGGTCTCAGGACAGCACCAGGAGGATTCGCCCAGTGCATTGACAACAAAGAAGTTTCTCAGCCCCAGAGTGAAGGAGGATTCCGGGGATCACTTTTGTGACATCTTGAGGCAGCTCCACCTCTCCTGGTAGTGTTCAAACTATCGGACGTGACCTTCCAACTTGGCTTTGCAAGAGCAAGTCTGAGCTGTGGTAGTTGCTTTGAGTTTTATATTTTTAAGGAGACAGTGACTCATTTTTATAACCTGTATCTACAGGGCTATTTGGCAAATTAATTTTTCTGATAGTAAGCACTTAAAATTCATTAGCTGATGTCACCGATGATTTTTTCTTTGTTCTTCAGTTCTGTCTTTCAAGGCTGGAGGAAAAAGACCGTTTGATTCCAAATCCATCTCCCCATTATACCCCTTTCAAAATTTCAAAATAGACTGTCCACCCTGCCCTTCGATGAAATCCGAGTTCACATCAGTCTCCCCCCAGGAGCAGTAGTTGCAAATTGTACTGGGAAGTCTGGGAATCAATTAAATAGGCTAATTCTTTGCTGGAGGAAAATCTGATGAGAGGGAGACTTAATTTACCATGCATCACAAAATTTTCCAAGTAAATTATTTTCAAGTCAAGTCAGCCCTTCTCTTAGCCATGACGGGGACACATTTGAGTTTTATTTAAAAAATTCTAATCTATCACTGTCACTATTCCTGCTGTAATTTAAGGCTTTGGTGGTTCATGGTAGATAACAGTTGTTACACTTCCTGCAGGCTGAGCAGTAGTTTGCTACATTAGCTATCACAAAGCAGACGAAAGGGGAGAGAGGGCTGTGTAGACAGCAGAAGGCTATGTCAGGCCAGAGGCCCCGGGAGACCAGACTAGGGAGCGGGGTGCACTGGCTTCCCCTGCTCTGAGTTCTTCCATCTAGCGCCTCTTTCCTGAGCATCCAGAACTGGACCTTTGAGTCATAGAGATATGTCCCAGCCTGCAGCTCTGCCTTCTGGGAGCTTGGGATGGGCCAAAAGAAACTGATAGGGAGACCAGTAGTGATAGAACAGCTGTGATGAAGACTTAGGTCCCATGCAGGCTACTCAGGTATAGATGGGACAAATGGCCTTGAAAGACAGATTCTACAGGGCTTGGAGGAGGGGTGCTCACCTGGCTTCTGTCCCTTGTGGGCCACAGTGTGTTGACAGTGGTGAACAGTGGAGTCCCCCAGTGTAGTGCTCTCTGTGAGATGAGGCATAGGTGTGTTGTGAGCACCTGCACCTTTGCTGTGTCTGAGGTCAGAACCACAAGCTGGAACCAGGGTTTCACCCCCGACGAGCTACAGAGATCTCTCTGAGCTTCAGATTTTCGTCTCTAAAATGGAGTTTACAATAGCATCTTCCTCACCTAATCACCATGAAACACAGGTAAAATGATGCCCATCCATGTCCTGTCATCCACTACCATCCAACCAGGGTTAATTGTCAACAATCACTGCGATTATTATCATTGTCTTTATTCCATTATAACCCCATCAGGATAGTCGTAGGGTGTTACCATTGCAGGAGCCCCAGAGGTGGGGAGAGCCTGGAAGGGACTCCCCCACTTGTGGTGACCAGGAAGGACAGAGAACACTGTGAGTGCACTGCAGAGACCACAAGGCAAGGCCAAGATGTGAGGCTGGAGGGACTGAGGGTGACAGTGAGACTGCCTCACTTCCCAGGAAAGCAAACTGAGGCTCAGAGAGGGAAAAGCAGGGGCCGGCCACACAGAGCATGCAACTCTGCAAGACACTCCTGTCTGCCCTGTTGCAAGGCCTGTGTGTCCTCAGGAGGCCGAGATTTCATGAGGTACTGAGGAAGGCTCGTTCCTACTCGCCCACCCTCTGGTGGCAGTCTTCCTCCCTGGCTGGTACTGCCCTTACCACCCTGACCTTTTCTCAGAAGTGAGCAGGAAAGACACCTGGGAAGGTGGCATTGCAAATCCTCCCCCTCTGTGAGGACAAGCCCCTCCGCTGCTGGGCAGGTGGGCACAGCCAAAAGAGAGAAGGGAGCAGTGGTCACATCCTGCTGCCCACATGGTCCTTTCTCTAGTGCTGTGCAGACAGACATCAGGTGTCCCCAGCACTG